CATCCTGGTTTCATTAAAGAGTTGTTCTAGATGCTGATGGCTGTGGGAAGGAAGGATCTCTTGTAGCGGTCTGTCTTACAAGGGATCTAAAGAAGTCTCTGGCTGAAGACACACACACACACACACAGACACACATACATACATACATACATACAAATCAAATTACAAAAAGACTTTATTAATCCCAGAGGGAAATTAAATGTTGTAACTCATCATCCTGGTTTCATTAAAGAGTTGTTCTAGATGCTGATGGCTGTGGGAAGGAAGGATCTCTTGTAGCGGTCTGTCTTACAAGGGATCTAAAGAAGTCTCTGGCTGAAGACATATATATATATATAAATATTAAAAAAGATTAATGTATATATGCATAAACAAATATAAAGTTCTTGTTGTAGGTTTTGGTTCTTTGTTAAAAACAAAAATTAAAGAGTATAGAGTTTTGCTAAAACTACAGCCGCTAAAAAACGCAGCATATGTGATAGAAGCACAGCAGCAGTGTTTGTTTTGCCATTTTTACACGAACCTGGTAATAAGGCATGTCTGTACATTAAAAAAACAAACAAGAATAATTATTAATCCATGTTTATTTTCAAATCAACACTTTAACGTTCACTTGTATCTAAGGAAGGCTGAGGAGGTAACAAAAGATTTAAGGGTGGAATTAGGATAAGTTACGGCTCATGAGGTACTCCATCATAGCATCTCTGACACCTCGGCCCTGCTCTCCATCTTGTGGGACAGCGACCAGGACGGGCAATAAAAAAAAGCAACGAGGTCATCCATTTTGGTTGTGTGTTGTTTTCCGGCTCTTCTTCTTCTAATACATGTTAGTGGTGGTTAGAAAAGAGCTTAATGTAGCACTACCGCCACCAGCTGGTAAGGTGCGTTGATATTAATAATCCACCCACTAGAGGTGAACAATCCGCCCACTAAACGGGAACTATAGGCAATGTGGAGACAGAAAAATAGAGGTCCCACCAGAACTGGACACAACAGGGTCCAACAAGAACCAGACCTGTGGATAAGGGGCTTTAGTGTCTTACCTGTATTCCCCAAAGTGGGGACGCTTCTAGATCTGGCCTCACTTTCTCCAGCTTGACCACCAGCTCTTCACATTGGTGAGGCTCACCTTCTGTAACACAATCTGCCATATTTATTCCCTCATGTGAGAATGTTATGTTGGGGGCTTCTAAGATTTTTGATAGTCTGTGTTGTCTAAGAGCGGTCATCGTAAAACACTGTGAGTTCATATAGGCAACCACGCTATGTGTTGTCAGCACCTGCAGGGCATGGCCCATGACTATGTGTGCTGTTTTTTTAATCAGTTTCGCTATCCCGGCTGCATGTTGTGTGCATGGAGGATGTCTTTTTTCCATGTTCTCCATCATAAATGAGAAGTACTGTAATACTTTCCTCTCTCCCCCTTTTCTCTGAAACAAAACCCCATTTATTGCGTGTTTTGTTACAGAGACATCCAGGAAGAAAGGACAGCTGTAATATGGTAAGGTTAATTCAGCTGCCGATGCCATGTGTTGCTTTAGATGAGTAAAGGCGTCTTCTGCTTCTTTTGTCCGGGTTAGTGGACTATTCAAATTTCTCATACCTTGTTCCTTGACCAGATGGCGCAAGGGTTGAGTCAGGTCCGTGTATGCTAGCAAGTAGCTACGACTATAGCCGGTGAGTCCAAGGAAAGATAACATGTCCTTCACCTGTAGTGGTTTTGGATGTGTAAGGATGCTCTGCTTATGTGCTGAAGACATGCTAGTGGTTCCTGCAGAGATTACACGGCCCAGGAAAGAAACCTGTTTTCTACCAATCTGCAATTTAGTTTTACTAACCTTAAAACCAGAGCCGTGTAAGTGTTGTAGGACAAGTCGTGTAGCTTCCACGCAGAGATCAGCAGTGGGAGTGGTCAACAGCAAGTCGTCCACATACTGGATCAGTGTGGTGTTGCCGGGAAGTGGACAGGTGTGCAAAACGTCCTTCAGGACCTGGTTAAAAATGCCTGGAGAGAGAGAGAATCCCTGTGGAAGTCTTGTGTATCTCTACTGTCTGCCTTTGTAGGTGAATGAAAACAGGTCATGACAGCTGTCCTCTAGAGGGAGACAAAAGAACGCATTAGCCAAGTCAATACAGGTGTACCATTGTTGAGAAGGTTCCAAGGCTGAGATGGATACATAAGGATTAGGAACAGGCACTGTTGGAGTGGACAAGATAGAATTTATGGCTCTTAAATCATGGGCCATGCAATATTTTCCTGTCCCTTTCTTTTCTACGAGTAAGATGGGTGTATTCCAGTCAGAAGTTGAGGGTTCTAAAACCCCAGCCTGTATTAGACCTGCAATAGTGTCGGCGATTCCCTCCTCAGCTTGAAGCTTGTGGGGATATTGTGGTACCCAGATTGGGGTGTTTGTGTTTACCTTAAAGGTGATGGGAGCACAAGAGACATGTCCAACATCAGTTGGAGACTGTGCCCAGAGAGAGTCAGGAAGTGAAGCCAGCATGTCCTCAGCAGTGTGGTAATCTGTCCGTTCTCTCCCATGTTGGCGAGTCAGCAGGTCATGTTCAAGGTCGATCGGTTCAGAACTTTCAAACTGTATTCTGTATGTGTCACATGATTTTGAATAATACAGACCTGGTGCTGTGGTGCGCGTCCAATCTGTGGTAGCTAGAGAGCGTTTAACCATCTCTCCTAACTCCTTGGCTTGGCGCTCAGGATTTATAGAGAGAGATAAATGGGGGACAGCCTCAAGGTCAGATGAGAAGGCTTCTTGGTACCAGCCTGTGTGTTCCCGGTCATAGAAGAGGGTGACGTGAGGCGGGTCAGCAGGAGAAACATAGGCACGCAGACTGATGAGCCTGGGCTTCCAGGTCTGGAATGTTTTCAGGAGACAGCTCGACTGTTCATGTGTCAACCGGCCCCAATAGATGTCTGCGTACTCTGGAGTGACAGGGTGTAACAAATATTGTCCATCTGTGATTGAGTCTCTGCAATGCATGATGGAGCCATCTGGTAGCGAAACTGTCAGCCCATCTGCACCACACAGTACAGTAGCTCCCAGCTTGTTCAGCAAGTCTTTTCCCAGTAAGTTCACAGGAGTAGATGGGGAGCAGACAAAAGAATGTTGCAACGTCTGGGCCCCTAGGTTAAAAGTCAACGGTTTTGTTAAGTGCAGACTCTGCTCTTTCCCTGAGAACCCTGTCAAAGACACGGTTTTTGATGTTAAACTGTTGATGGGGGTGCTGTTTATAGTCAAATATGTGGCTCCTGTGTCCACTAGAAAGTTCATAGGTTGACCTCCCACTCTGGCAGATAACATGGGGTCTGCAGAAGTCATGTTACCTGACTGGGTCTCAGGGGTGTGTCAATATCGTTGGTACACGTCTTCTTCCCACTACAGGTACTGGCCACTGGCAGGAGGCGGTATGTTAGCAGGATTGTGTGGAATCATACCTTGTGACTCTCCGCCTTTACTCCCCTGCATGGGTGGGGCTCTGCACTGTCTGGCCCAATGGCCAGGTCTCCCACAGTTGTAACAGATTTCGTCTTGCAGGTTCCTTTGCCCGGGTGCACCCCAGCCCCCTCGTCCACACGCCATGCCTCCCCGTGCACGACCACCAACACGCCAACCTCCTCCACGTCCTGTCCCACCAGACCTGCGCGCAAATGGAAAAGACAGGAAGGGAAAATAGGGATCGGGATATGGAGAGGAGACAACTCCTCCTCCAGGATACTGATTAGTCACAGGTGCGACATTGTTGTGTGTAAGTTGTGAAACATTCCCTGTTCCCGCAGCTAATATAATTTTCTCAGATTTATCCTTGTTCTTTGATACCTTCTGCTGTGCTTCCTGAAGCTGTAATTTGAGGAGCTGATTTTCTAGGTCAGCTCTTTCATCTTTTTTCTTTTTTAACTTGTCCTGTGCTGCCTGCAAATGATGTAGTAAATGTTTTTCCCACTTAGCATGCTCGCACCCTGGGAGATCAGGATTTTTCACCATCAGCTCTGACACTTCATCAGGTACTCCCTTCAAAACTGCTTCTCTGAACAATTCAGTCAGATTAGACGGTTCACCTTTTGGATTAACTGTTGTGTGCCTCATCCAAATCTCTACTGCTTGAGTGATGTAATCTTTCGGGTGGACCTTAGGGTCCCATTCAAATTTTGGTATTGCTGCCGGAGTAGACAAAGGGAACTGTCGCTTAATTTGTCTGGCTACTTGTGTAATTACCACTGCTAAAGGAGTGTGGTTTGGCTGAGTGTCAGTGCGGGCGGCTCGTTCCAACTCATGTCCCACCATAGGGGTGACAACGTCCTAAAATTGCCCTAAAATCTCCTAGTGCCAAAGTCATTCCTCTCTTGAGTCCATCCAGCTCAGATAACCATAAGCTTCCTCCTGCCGAGATACTAGGAAGCTTATCAACCAACGCGTCTCTATCTCCCAAGGGAAAAGGTACATATTTCAGTGTCCCTCCTGCTGACTGCAGTAAGGGGTAGTTTCCCTGCACCTGTCTTGACCGGAGTGTCATGGGGTGTGTCTTCTCACAGTACTCCGCACAAACTTCTCTTTCTTCTCTCTCATAATCTGCTAACCTAACAAGTCCTCGCATGCTCCTAGAAGCTCTTCTTCTGTCAGAAAACCTCCTTTTTCTCCTCTCTCCGTGACCTTTCCCTTGGCAACCAGAGAGATGTTAACTCCAGTCTCATCTATACTCATTTTATTCTGCTTTTGCTTCTCTGCCTGTTCAAGCTTTAATCTAATTCTGGTCATCTGTTCCTCAGTCTCATGTAGTATTTTTTCTACGTCTTGAAATAACTGTACATGATCATCCAACTTGTCCCTCCTCCTATCTTCCTTGTTCTCCACCTCCTCCCTTGACACAGAGGAGGAGGTGGGGCTGAGGGTTTTCTGTCTTTTTTCTGAGTCAATATCTCCTCTTGGCATAGAGGCAATTTCAAGTTCTGTCCCCATCCAGAGTGGGTTGTGAGGGGGTGGTGGTGTACATTCTCTGGCAGCTGGCTGCACCAATAAGCTTCCATCTAGGATTTCAATGATTGGGTACAGCCCCTTAGGGGCTGTCCATTTGTCTAGTAATGGGCCCACCTCCTGAGTGGGCTCCTCACCACTCAGATAAGGAGGTGGCAGTGAGCTGGAGGCCACATCCTGTTTTTTCTCCACTAGACCATGCTTTATTCCCTGCCAGGATACCAACATTTTTTCACACTTCCTCAACTCCCTCTCGACTTCCTCTCTGTCTCTTTTACATTTATTTCTTGTAAACACCTTCGCCTCCTGTTCTCTGGACATGCACTCAGTCAATTTAGTTTTCAACCCTCTCAAGTGCTTCAGCAAAAAAATGCCCAATGGCCTGTACTCAGTGACGCTGGCTCCCTGTTTAACTATGAGCTCTTCCATTCTGGTCTTAATCTTGCCTCCCTTTTTCTTGTCATTGTCGTAATGTTCTGTTAGGTATGTTACTAAATTGTCAACCTGTGCCTGTAAAGTCACCCACGGACCAGTTCCCCAATGGCTGTTATGTATTTGTTTGTCAAATTCTTCGTCCATCCTAACAGCTTCCTGTTGTGCAAACAATTAAAACAATTAAGTCTTTGTCAAAATTCACGTTTTCACAAAATAAAATAAAATAATAGTCTGTCAAAATTCACATTCTCACAATGAACACACACACACACACACACAAACATTTACAAACACACACACACATTCGTGTCTTTACTACAAAGAGAGGACCAAGTAAATAGACCAGCAGAGTGAGGACCACTAGTTCTGAAAAAATAGACAGTAGCATACATATATCTAGTACAGCTGATTACCACTGAAAACAAAGTGAGGACAAGGCAAATGTCCTCACTTCCCAAAAATGACCTCACTTTGCTGGTTAAAAACATGATGGTCCTCACTCTGTAGCAAAAACAGGAACACACACACACACACTTTGTTGCCAGGTGAAAAGACACGACCGTCGCACTAGTTGCATAAGAGTTATTTTATCTTGAGACCTGGCAACCCCGCTCCACTCACAGAGCACAGCTGTTTTCACATGGAGCGGTCTCATACAAACAAAACACAATCGCTCGTCCGGCGCGCCTTAATTTTCTCTAGAGTTCAAAATCACAATTTCAGCTTCTCACACGACTGTGAGTAAAACACTCAAGTCCACACGGCGGTGGACGATCAGTTATGCTCTGACAGTCGAGTCAACAAAAAAAACAGACCTGAATCATGGACAACACATGATATGTTGGCGCCATCTTGAATAGAAACTATTCAAGATGGCGCCCGAGCTGGTGGCTTGCCGTTCACCTCTCTCCACTCTGTTTGTTTTTTTGCTATTTTTATCATTCTTCCTCAATAACATCAACTCACTGCTGGTGTATGATCGTGAGCAACTTCTAAATCTACAATTTTCCACAAAACATCTCGCCTCGTACGATCATTTCTACCGAGGTTCTGGGCCCCCACCTCCACTGCTCGGGAGCGTCCCTGCTTACCTTCGCCGTGATGTTTTCCTGCCTGCACGGAAACATCGCACCCGCCGCCGCGGGAGACGTGCTGGCCGCCTCGTGAGGCTCAAAGCGAGCCTCGCTCGCTCCTCAGCAACAGCTGACCACCGGACTGAGGATCCTCCACCTGGATGTCTCGCGGAGTCCTGCCCGCTGAAGAACGTGGGGTCGGAGGTGCGCAGCGGGCGCGCGCTCAGCTGCGAAGTTTCCGACAGTCTCCAGCTGATCGAGGTCTGCCTGGGTTCTTCATCTGTACCATCTCCTACCACCCGATCGGTCTGTCCCAACGACCCTGCTGTGTCCGGCGGCTCTCGGACTCCGGCTGTTTGTCCCGGACCGCGCAGCGGGCGCGCGCCCAGCTGCGGTGGGTCCGAAAGTCTCCAGCGGATCGGGGCCTGCCCTGGTCCATCGGCTGCACCATCTACTGCTGTCCCGTCGGAGTGTACCAACGACCCTGCTGTGTCCGGCGGCTCTCGGATTCAGGCTCTTCATTCTGGACTTCGCGACGGACGCGCGCGAAGCTGCGCTTCCTCTGGCCGGAGGAGGCGAAGGCCCGACGTAAACAACCTGAGGCCGCTGATCAGCGTCCTCCCCTCAACTTTTCCCCCAGCTGCTGGCCTAACGAGGTTTGCTCTCCTCAATGTGAGATCTTTATCAACCAAAACTTTTATAATGAATGACTTCTTCTGCTCCAACAACCTGGACTTCTTGTTTCTGACGGAGACCTGGCTTCCTCCTGGTGAGTCAAGCGTTTTTACTGAATTTGTGCCTGCAGACTGTACTTTTCTTAACTGCCCGAGGCCATCTGGAAGAGGTGGAGGAGTTTTAGCTCTTTTTAAGAAAATTTGGAAATGCAGACTGCTTCTGACAGCAGCTTTTGAGACCTTTGAGCTGCTGCATTTTGAACTGGGCCGCTCCAACCCCATCCTGGTTGCTGCTCTTTACAGACCCCCCAAATCATCAACAGGCTTCATCAATGAACTGTCTGACTTTCTCACTGGAATACTGCTAAAATACGACCGTGTGCTGATTCTAGGGGACTTCAACATACACGTCTGTTGCCCTGAGAAGCCTTTGGTGCAGGACTTTCTAAATCTGATCCACTCTCTAAACCTGGTGCAAAATGTTGTTGGCCCCACGCATCAGCAGGGGCACACTCTCGATATTGTTTTGTCTTATGGTGTATCTGTGTTAAATCTGGAAATTGGGGATGCTACCATATCCGATCACAAACCCATCTCATTTGAAATCTCTCTTGCTCGTGAGTCTAAATCCCCCACTCCACCTAGGACCTGTCGTGTATTTAACCCTTCAACCTCTGCTCGTTTTTCCTCTGCTTTTATCACCACTGCTGTTTCAACTCCTGAAACCTCTGCCTGTGTCAGTACTCATGAGCTGCTTAGTCACCACAATGAGACCTGCACCAAGATCTTGGATCTGGTGGCCCCACTGAAAGTCAGGAAAGCAAGGAGAACCCAGTACCCGTGGATAAACGAGACCACCAGGGCAGCGAGACGACTGTGCAGGAGAGCAGAGCGCAAATGGAAAAAGGACCAACTCCAGGTTTCTTTCATTTTGCTAAAAACCTGTTTAAAAAATTACCAAAACACCGTCAAATCAGAAAAAAACAAATACTTCTCCCAACTGATCAGTGAAAATAAAAACAACCCCCGCACCCTTTTCACAGCAGTAAATTCCATTCTTAATGGCCCTTTGTCTGAATGCATGGAGGCCTCTGTGGACGTCTGTAACGACTTCACAAGATTCTTTGTTGGTAAGGTAGAGCTGATCAGATCTTCCATCCCCCGCTCCTCAGTTGACCCATCGGTTTTTGTCCCATGTTCAGCCACTTTCAGGAATTTCAATCCAATCACACTCCCATTGTTAAACAAAGTTGTTGGTCACATGAAACCCTCAGGCTCCCCTGCTGATCCAATCTCTCCCTCACTGTTCAAACAGGTTCTACCAGCGATTGGGCCCGCTGTTCTTAATATTCTTAACAGTAGCTTTGCTACAAGCGTGGTTCCACAGGCCTTTAAAAATGCAGTAGTCACTCCTTTAATCAAGAAACCTGGACTTGACCCCTCAGTGCACTCAAATTACAGACCAATCTCAAAGCTTCCCTTCCTGT